CTGGCGTGCAAAGGTTTTTTGACCAACTATATCAAATGATTATACACCTTTATTTAATTAAGAAGTTAAGATTGTTTAGCAGTATGTTTTTATCAGCATTGCTTGTGGATCTTGAGGATGAGATTAAATAAGTTTGGTTTTCGTAGGTGTCGTGTAACATAAGATAGACCGCTTTAATCAGTTTGAAGCTGAAAAAAGGTCATGAAAAACTATTGGGCCAATGAAAGATCTGAGATGATAATACATAAATTTCGAAGTAAGAATTGTTCCAACTAATTAACATGAGAGTAAGCTGCCTTGGCAAGTCGTTATAGCTGAACATCAGCTTGCTTTTTTGCACTAAAATCATGGCTAAATTTTTTTGCTGGAACAGGAATGAAGGTTGAAAATTTGAAGAGTAAGATTACTCAACAAGAGACAGCCAGGCGATTGGTTATTTTCATAAACACTGGTTAAATCAACCAAAGGACTTTTGCTATGATTGGAAGAGCAAAAGATTAAAAGGAAGGATTAAAAAATTTACCGTATATATTCGCGTATCATGTGAGCTTTGAAGACCTAATTTTGAAGCTAATTTGAATGCAATAAATATATATACATATATATATATTGATACCGACACACGTAAGTATATCTATCTATCTATCTATCTATCTATCTATCTATCTATCGTATAAACTCGCGTATCACGCGACTTTTGATGACCTAATTTTGAAGCTAATTTGACTACAATAAATATATATACATATATATATCGATACTGACACACGTAAGTATATCTATCTATCTATCTATCTATCTATCTATCTATCTATATATCTATCTACCGTATATACTCACGTATCATGCGACATTTAAAGACCTAATTTTGAAGGTAATTTGACTACAAGAAATGGATATATAGTTTGGTCAACGGCGTAGCCAGGCCCAGCAGGACATATGCTAATTTTTGTAATTTGTGTATGATGCACCCCCCCCCACCCCAATAAAATTAGCTTAAAAATTATGTCTTCAAAAGTTACATGTTACGCGAGTATATATGATACTTAAGTGAGCGGGTAGAAAAATCGTTAGAATCTCGTTAGACAATCCAAAATTAGCAGCCAACCAAGTGAGAAATGAATGAAGCCTTAACAGCGAGGTTTCAGTTGACACACTAGGAAGAGTTATTCGAAAAAAAAAAATTGAACTGGCGCATTGCAGAAGGAAACAAAAAAAAACTAACGTTGACGAAAAATACTGAAATAGAAGAATGAAGTGGTCAGAAGTACACATAAAATGAAATGACGAAAAATGACAAAAAGTAATTTTTAATGATGTGTGCAAAATGAAGTTGCATTCTGATGCAAGATAATATGCAGGAAGACCAAAAAGAGGTTTGTGTAAAGAAGCTGTTCGGACCATTTCCAGAATGAAGTACCGTATAGCCTTTGAGTATATACATTTTTTTATCGTATAGCCTTTGAGTATATACTTTTTTATCGTATAGCCTTTGAGTATATACATTTTTTATCGTATAGCCTTTGAGGATATACATTTTTTATCGTATAGCCTTTGAGTATATACATTTTTTATCGTATAGCCTTTGTGTATATACTTGTTTTTATCGTATAGCCTTTGAGGATATACTTGTTTTTATCGTATAGCCTTTGAGGATATACATTTTGTATCGTATAGCCTTTGAGTATATACTTGTTTTTATCGTATAGCCTTTGAGTATATACTTGTTTTTATCGTATAGCCTTTGAGTATATACTTTTTTTATCGTATAGCCTTTGAGTATATACTTTTTTATCGTATAGCCTTTGAGTATATACGTTTTTAACCTATAGCCCTTGATTATATACTTTTTGTGCGTATGTTAAATGAGATTAACTCGCCAATCTTCCCTATCTGAAATCAGTTTGAAGTGTTAAAAGGATTCATTTTTTTTTACAGTAAGGCTCTCCCTGTACAAGGACCAGTGTTCACTCGAGGAAGAGGGTTACCATAAGAAGTAGTTCATGCGGATAGTAGAGGAAGATAGCAGTTAAGCCTAGACTTGAACGGGTTAAGCCTGTATTGAGCGAGGAAGCACCCCCTAGGGAGTCAGTTTCACAGAGCATTGGTTCTTAAAAAGAAGCTGTTCGAGTGGAACTTACTTCTCACCGATGGAACACGAAGGGAATGTGGGTGGTTTCCCTCAATATACAGTGCTGTTCACCTGATTTTTTTACTAAAAATATTTTTTGTCGATTGTTTTTGGGGTTAAAATAATTTTTAATCTTACTAATATAAAGACCACCTAAGAATAAAGTTTATTCACACTAAGGTATTTTATTGTTAATTATAAATTTTGATATAAATGAGATTCAGGAAAAAACTCTGTGCAAAAAAAGTGACTCAGATATCGCATTCTAAATATTAAACTGGTAAATTTAAAGAGCTTTTGACAAAATATTGAACACTATTTTACAATACACTCAGAACAATATTCTAGAGATTTCTAGAACAGCCTAAATTAAAACTAGAGTATTCCAGAATATTCCAGAAAGCCTCATACAGTATAAAAACAGCTTGAAATAACCACTCAAGTCACTAACCAGATGAAAGGGTACAAACACGCATCAGAACCACATAAGGCATCTATTAATGCCCTCTCAGAAGCAGGCAAATCTACGAGAGAAATTGCAGAAATTGCTATAACCTCGAATTCAACTGTCTCTCGAGTACTTAGGGGAGGTAATGATGTCACTCCTGCTCCAAGGAAGGAAACAAGGGGACGGAAGAAAAAGATTGATGATAGAACTGGCAAAGTAATCAAGAGAGAAGTTGCGAAGAATAGGACTATAACTAGCCAAGAAATTGCAGTCAGTCTAAGCGAAGAGCAAGGTGTTAGTCTTGCCTCTTCAACAGTCCGTCGGTGGCTGTTAAAAGAAGGCTACAAATCTTGTACACGAAGGTTTAAGCCACTAATAAGCGAAGCCAACAAAGCCAAGAGACTTGAATGGGCTCACTATTACAAATATTTCACCGTAGAAGACTGGAAGAATGTTCTCTTCTCCGATGAAACGAAAGTTGAGCTAAATTCAAAGGATAAGGTGAGTCACTTTTATCGAACAGCACTGTAAGTGGCATGGCGGCTCATAGGCGTGAAGGTTAAAAATGGCGGCAATAAGGAATGTAGTTCGTCTGAGAACTTTCGATAGAAGCCGCGGAAGAGTAACGAGAGGCTCGCCACATCCCGCCTCTGTGTGTGTGTGTGTGTGTGTGTGTGTGTGTGTGTGTGTGTGTGTGTGTGTGAGAGAGAGAGAGAGAGAGAGAGAGAAAGAGAGGTTGGAGGGTAGAATATACATCCTTGTGCAAATTAATTGAAACAAAACGAATAATTATTTACTCCTTTTTCATATTTTCTCAGTGAAGCATGACCCAGTGCGCATGTTAGTACTTCGTATATCCATTCAACGAAGTCGTTCCTTGCACACTGACCACAGATTCTCGATTGGATTTAAATTAAGAGAGTTTCCGGGCCAATCTATATTATTTGATTTGCTCACTGTTAATCCTTGCCTGTGCGTTCGTGCGGCGTTACAATTTTCGTACGCTTCCTTGGAGTAACGTCCATCGCAGACAATGGCCTTAGGACAACTAATCAACAGTCGAGACAATAGTGTCTGGGCGTGATGAAATCTGATGCAATCACGGATGACGCAATATTTTTCAAGGCCAAACAAATCACATCATACATCCTGAAAATAGATTCATGTTACTGCACACCACTGCAAGTGACTTAATCTGAGGAAAAATAGAAATCGATTATACCCTGTCACTCCAATGGGTTTAAAAATGACCGTTGGTGAAAGAAAGGAAACTAAAGCGGTTGTTTTAATTCATTTGCACAAGGCTATAGGAAAACCTGGGAGATTTCGAGGTTAAGTTTTAAAACGTGTTTAACGGCAATACTGTGGAAAAAATTGTCTAAGCTTTTCCACTCCTTGGCATTTCTCCCTTTTGGGACGCCTCAGGCACTAAGCAATTAACCGAAGGAGAGTTATTGCCTGGAGAGAAGGACCCTTGCGGCTTAGGTTTAATATTTTTTTAAACTCCTTCGCATAGGATTTCGCCTATACAAAGTAAGTATACTGTTACTGAGTGCTTTGACCAGCGGGTGAGTGAACGTTAAAGTATGTGTGTGGGCGTGTGTTAAATATTGGAAATTTTTGCAATATGCTGACACCTGTTAAAATCCTCACAGTATTTAATATTGTTGAAATTATCGCTAACATTTTTGTCGAGATTTACAAACTGTACGCTTCGTTCAATTTCGAAAACCAATCGATCATATTTGAATAAGCTGGTTTGTTTGGAAAATAATTTGCCTAAAACACTACTTTGTGGTTTAATAAATTCTTTAATTCAATTTAATTTTAAAAGACGTCATGCTAAACAATATTTTTTTCAGAAAATTCCCTTTTTAACAGCAAAGAATAAAGTCTTAGGATTTCTTACTCTTGAGCGTACAACTTACAACTGGCTATGCGTAAAGACTTTTTCTGGAGCCAAATTTTTGAAGCGTTTGACCTCGTGATTTGTTTATAGTCGTCGTAAACGCAAGGCGAACTGGAAACTGGATTTTTGTATATATAAATACTTTTAAAAAAGATATGCAAAAAAAAAAAAAATATATAGCATTTTTATTAAATAAATATTTGATATTTTAATCCTTAAATTGGTTTTAAAATAGTGAAAGTATTTTATATGTTAAATAATAAAACTTTTAATTTTTCCCCTAAAAAACTAATCCAAATTTCTTGTACTAAGCTATGTACCTTAATTTTGGAGAAATATATACCCACTTACCTGTGTGTACTTCTACCCAAAATTTGGCTTCGATCGGTCAATGTCTGGCTATTTTAGAGGGTGAGATGGTCCGACGGACCATCGGAAGTTACAGGATTATATATATATATATATATATATATATATATATATATATATATATATATATATTACAATGAATCATTGATATAAAAATAGATTAGTAAAGTTAATGATATAAAATGGCGAAATCTCTTCGCAAATAAAATATTAAAGGTGCATTAACCTACGAACCACTCGATGAATGTTATGATCCTTGTTTTTAATAACTACAAGCTGTATAAGGTCGTTTTTAAAAATCTGCTAGTACTTTCAGCTGTACATACATCCATCCTCAGGCATGGAAATTATTTAGTTTTTAGTAAAATCCACGTAGCATCAGAGACGAAAGATTAAATGCGAATCGAAATATGTTTTTTTTTTTTTTTTTAGAAATGTGTTATTGTTAACGAATAAAAAAAAACTTCAACCTTAGCGTTGCCTCCGCACCCTCCAAAAGTTTTTTTTTTATCCGTTAACAATAAAAAATATCAGTTGTTAACGGGTAAAAACTTTTAGTCGAAAATTGTCGAAAACACATGGAAATGATTATAAGAATGAGGGGATCGATATTGAACATTTTAAATTAACCAAATATTCCCTGTTAGTGATATTCGGTTAATCGACGTAAAAACGAAAACATTTGACGCAGTTGTAACGAAATATGGACAAAATGTACTGGATCAGTTCAGAAGCATAATGGAACCGGAGGATATAGAAATGGACAAAGAGTAGAGGAACTAATGAATCCTGTAATAAAACTGAACCATCAATGGATGCTAATGACCAGAAATCTGATGAAGTGTCGGAAGAGGAATATAAACGCAGACCTAGGTCCCCTAGAAGAAGAAATGCAAATACACACACAAACACACAAACACACACACACACAAACACACAAACACGCGGAGGCGCGTTTGTTTTGCTTTGGTTTGGTTTCTTTTATGGCATATCAACAACTCAATGGGTTATTTAATGCCGACAAGATTTTGTTGCTGGTAATATTTTTTATCTATCTATCTATCTATCTATCTATCTATCTATCTATCTATCTATCCCAGTATATATTGGTTTGGTTTGTCTTACAGCATATCAACTTTAATTATTTAATGCCGACAAGATTTTTATTTCTGGTAATATATATATATATATATATATATATATATATAAAAATGTATTTCTGTTAATTTTTTTTTATTAAAAAATGCGTAACTTTTTTTTTTTCTAAACTGTGTAGTGTAGGTAATATTTTTTTACAAAAATGTATTTCTGGTAGTAAAACCTATTTTTACACTTTCTTAGTGTTTTGACCCCAGTTTATGGATTTACTACTTACCCATAACTGGGACCCTAACAGTTGCTACCACCCCAGGTCAGTGTGGACCTGGGAACATCAATTATCAGGTGGTTCCACACTCCTCAAAACCGCCTGATCAGAAAGACTTGATGTAGTTTATCGTCTTACGCCGGACGTAAGCGTTTATGTGTGTGTGTGAATTTCCAAAGATTTCTATCAAAGCTTAAATAAAAGCTTCATTATTATTATTATTTAAAAAAAGGTTTATTATTATTTATGTCCCTTAATATTGCTTATTATCACTTAATTTTTAAGGTTCATTATTATTAAGCATTATTTTAGCTTCATTATTATTTAAGGTATGCAAATTTCTGATGAAGCCTAAATAAAAGCGAAACATGTTAAATTTATAAACGTTTCATCTTTGTTCCTTATTGTTCCACTGTTATATATGCTTAATGATGAAATCAACTGAAACATGGTAAAAAATTATAATTTATTATTCCTTATTTATCTTTATATATATATATATATACTCGATTCTCCCGTCGAATTCGACGTATGAGGGTCAAGCAGATGAGTTCCTAGGAAACCGACAGCCCGACAACAGCACATGAGATTTGATTATAGTTGTGAAGGTTTCGTGCAGGATCATCCACACTTTTTGAAGGGCCGAATACAGAGACCTGGTGCATTACGTGCCACAAGGTCCCCAAACGACCCTCCGCAGGTTTTGAATTCAGAGTTGTTCTTCTCCTAGACCAGTTGCTATCCAAGGCTATAGAACCAAGTCTGTCCTACTATTTACCCATAGCTGGAGGGAGAAGAAGAGGATTCACACCTTTCCCAAGGGTATTAGCACGTAAGTGAATGTAATGGATTCGACTTGAATTGAACTCGGCCTCCGATACCTCAATCCAAGCCACTATCTATTATCCATCGTGCCTCATATATATATATATATATATATATATATATATATATATATATATATATATATATGAGGATATATTTGTAGCATACCTACGGACGATAATGTCCCCACTCATATAAATACAGTAGTAAATACTGTATGTTGGTCTGCAGTCGGAGATTCGCTTCCAGCTGTGCGGAGAGGATACCCAGACGAGGCTATGTGGAAAAGCAGAGTCTCATCTCGGGAAACAGCTACTTGACCCCGTTTTTTACGGGGAATTTTTGGCCGAGCCTACGGCGTCGGATACCCCACATTAAATTCGGCCTTGTGTCACAACTGAATGCCTGGGGCGGTTGGTAGATATCCTGCAGTTGGAGAAGTATTGTGGAATTCACTAGACTCACTTCTAGCAGCTGACTACTTCTACGTGCCGCTCGTGAATCTTATATGTGTTGTTCTTGTCCTAAGTATTATCGTTCATTACGAACCTTCGTGTGATTTTTCTATTCAGTAACCTTCCTTAGGTTACAACATATATATATATATATATATATATATATATATATATATATATATATATATATTATTATTTTTTTATAAGAGATTATAATAAAAAACATGTTGAAATCATACATGAAAACTTTCATGTTTCAATACTATGATTGTACTTCTTCTGTAAGTAATTGGTGATAAAATGATTTTTCAAAATCATGCAAAAATCATTTAATCACCAGTTATTACAATCGCCTGAAGAAGTACAATCATAGTATTGAAACATGAAAGTTTTCGTGTAGCGATTTCAATATGTATTTTTAATATAATCCGTTACAATAATAATAATAATAATAATAATAATAACAACAACAACTGGTAGGATTTAAGAATATATATATATATTATGTGATTTTATAGTTGGTCGTAAGTCCGGGATCGTTAAACAGGCAAATCGTTAAGTGAGGTGTTGTTTTATAAGAAGTTAATTTGAGATTACCGGTATATGAATTTATTATTATATACTTATTTGTCTTCCGTTTCAAGCTTATAGGCATACAATTTCAGCACTTGCATATTACGCCCCTTTTCAGGTTCTCATCCTATTTGGCAACCTGGGCAATTTGAAAGAAGCCATCAAGAAAATCCGCTTCTGAGAAAGAACGCTTGATACGATATTCTGCGATGGACAGCGGAATGAAAACACTTTATCGGCGTTGACTGAATAAAGAACTCATTTAGAATCTCCAAGATTGTTCCCAAACACGGCAGGCACCTGAAGATGACTCTAGTGTACAACAGCCGAAATGACGTGATTACAACAGGAGGGAAAATAAAAGGTTGAAATCAATTAATGTATGTTAAATATTCTTTTATTATTATTACTAGCAGTAGAGCCCGGCGTTGCCCGGGGATGTAACAGTAAGAGATAGATCAAGTATCGACCATCATAAAGACTGAAAAATAAAATTGACAAAGATTATTGTTTAAGGTTGACGGACACCCATGTCTTAATTAGTTTTTGTTTTTTTTGTTTTTTTTGTTTTTTTTTACGAATTGATCAAACCCAAACTCAAGCAAAAACATTGTTTTCAATCGTTATGAGTCTACCGATTGAATAGAATTTTATTATAAACAATTGTCTTGTAAATGGATTTTTTAAAGCATTCTGAATGTAAAAGTAAAGAAAAAAGTGTGCAAGACAATAAGAAACACTACCTACCAAAAAAAAAAAGTGAAGTTTTGTAGAAATCGGTTGAAAAATGTAGGAAATCCGATCCCATATAAAACGAACACACACACACACACACACACACACACACACACACACACACACACACACACACAACCCATTTTATAATAAGTATAACTCGATATAAGTTGTCCCCCTTTCATTCTCGTGATGCCTCTTAATCGTGTTTTCAAATTGATTTCGTGCAAAAACACTTGTGTTTTTCCAATTTTTGGCGCTGTCAGAACCACCGCTAGGTAATTTTACGTAGTCCTGTGAAATTTTCTTGAAATCGGTTGAAAAATGTAGGAAATCCGATCCAATATATAAACGAACAGACACACACACACAACCTGGGTTTTATAATAAGTATGATTCAGTTTTGACATTAAAAAAAATTCACATTCTATCTTTGTGTGATATTAATTTTATTTTTACTGCGTAGCCGAAGGGTAAAAAGCGATGATTAGGATTTTCAATGAATGTACGTAAAAATTGATATACATAAAAAAATAAACAAAACAAAACAAAAATGGTGACAAAACTTGTCACAGTCCTGGCGACAAAGGCGGTTCTGTTTTCAAAAGATAAATTACTGTATAGAAAACCTCCTAGTGTGAAATGCTACAGTTACCTATATCTTAAGTCTTGCTTCCCCACTATATGGTTTATTTATATATAAATTCTAACCTGTAATTTGGTTGTCTGTCTACTGTCTGTCTGTCTGACTGTCTGTCAGTCTTCTGTCTGCATCTGTCCTGATGACGTCCAACCTTCCGTCGGACTCAGTAATTCAGAAAAATGAAGGAATTTTAGCCAGAAGATTTAAGGAGGAATTTCAATGATGGAAAGCGCCTCAAACTGGGCAAGATCGTCTGCGGTCATTACATACATCCATAGATATATACATACATACATGTGTAGAATTTTGGATAGAATATATCTGTAAAAGGAAAATATGAATATAGACAAAATAAAAACTTATTTTAGTCGACAAATTTCGTTCTCTAGTGGACTTTAACAAGGAAAATGTCGTGGGCCACATTACTTTCCTGATTTCTCTCTCTCTCTCTCTCTCTCTCTCTCTATATATATATATATATATATATATATATATATATATAATATATATATATATATTGTCATCTTTGATAATGGCTTATGTAAGCGAAAGCTTAGATAGGCTTAAAAAACATGTATCAATATGGTGTCTTTCTTTCATCTTTTATTGATAATGTTATTAAGCTTATCAGACAATATGAAAGGAATTTACTTAAAATAGACAAAACTTGTCTATATTATTTAATGAAACAGGCATCAATATATATATGGCCTGACGATTGCATATATTTGAAACAGACTGTCGCCTCTAAGTGTTGACTTCTATGTTCACTTATATATATATACACACACACGCACACACACACACACACACATATATATATATATGTATATATATGTATATATATGTGTGTCTGTGTGTGTATGTATATATATATATATATATGTATGTATGAGATGACCATATATATTATTATATATAATATTGGGTAAATTCTATGATGAAATGGTAGAAGTTTACTTGTGATGCGTTTCGTTCTTTAGGACTTCATCGGACTAAATTTGTCATGTTGGTGCCACTACGCATGCGCACGAGTGATCTTTAATTTTTTTTTTTTAAATTTTGATATATTTTTTAAATTGCCGAATTCATTTAAAGTCTATTTCCTTTTCTTTCTATCCCACTGTGTTAATAGAAGTCTGAATGAGGAATGATCAAAGCACCTTTTCTGTCATATTTAATGAAGTTTCCATAAAAGAAGGACTGCTGCCTAAATACACAATATTATATATATATATATATATATATATATATATATATATATATATATATATATATTCAACGAAATTCTATGGGCCAGATTTTATTTCCTCTTAGCGCTTATCATCTCCTCCTCTTCCCATAGCCTCTTTCTTTCTTTCTTTCTTTCTTTCTTTCTTTCTTTTCCCCTTCCTTTTTTTCTTTTTCCTTTCTTTTCCGTGCAACTACGACTACTAAATGCATTAGATTCCCTTCCATCTCTACATGTAAATTCTTAAAGACATTTTAAGAAAATTTCCAAGGAACGGAAGTAAGGGATATTAACTTCGATAACTGTATTTCTGAATAAAGATTTTAGTAACATTGTGATTCCCCACCTGATGAGACGTCTAAAAACATTTTTCCTTTTTTGACCTTGAAACAAAAAATGTGCAATTTTAATAGTGGATATGGGCATTTTTAATGTAACACTGCATAATATATATATATATATATATATATATATATATATATATATATATATATATATATATATAATGTAAAACTATCGAAACACATATATATATATATATATATATATATATATATATAAAGTAATCACTGCATAATATATATATATATAATGTAACATTTATATATATATATATATATATATATATATATATATATATATATATATATGTATAATGTAACACTGCCCCTTATATATATATATATATATATATATATATATATATATATATATATTCACTGCTACCAAAAGCAGAATTTTTTCTCCTGATGATGGCCATGTTGGCCTGAAACAATTCTTAATCTAAATGAAATAATAATAATAAAACGAAAGAATATTAATCTACAACCCAGTGTGCCTGAAGATCTTAATTTTTTAATATATTTTATTGTTCAATATATATATATATATATATATATATATAATCAATCGCTTTAAGTTTTATTCCTTTAATAATCTTCAGCCTTGAAAAAATAATTTACATGAAATATATTCTACACTACACTATTTTCGGAGCGTATAATATTGTGGCTTTAAACTTTCACGAAGCAAGTATTAAGTGGTCTGAAAAGAAATCATCAGAGCGTAACCTTTATTTTATGTATAAGAAACATACGCCCCGCCTAAGGCCTATTTCAGCGGGTCATTGACACGCAAGATTTTAAGGGCCTTGCGTGTTGAACTTCCCCGTGTATATCCTGGGTAGACCGATAATAAATAAACGTCCATGTTGCAAATAAAGACGGGAAAGACATGATAAGATCTGGATCTTTATTTTTCGCACAGTATAACCCGTTAAGTTGGATGGACGTTCAAATATTCGAAGTTAACCCATTGTCCTTGACGTGTTCTACGAGGCGTAACTCTAGCCTTTAAATGTCACGGTCACTAGTCTGAGTGGTGTGCGCCACCTGCAGCGTTGGACAAGCAAGAGGGTCAAAGATGTCATATTAGGCGCCTTTTAGAAGGCGCCAGAATACGTATAAAGTTAAATGTTTTCTCTCCGTTTTTCTTATTATATTTGTTGCTGTTGTTGTTATCATTATTATAATCATTATTATTATGAGTATTTGTATGTTCCGGGCTTGGGATTGATTGATAGCGGCTCTCCACTGTTTCTAACAGTAACCTTCATCCCGCCGTTTCTAACAGTAACCTTCATCATCAAGACTGTCATTATCCAACAGCAGCCCCACAAATATTCCAGCAGCACCCTCACAAATATTCCCCAGCACTATATATATATATATATATATATATATATATTGTGAGTGATGTCATGCGATATTTGCTTCCTGCGTTTCGTATGCACGAATGTATCGTTGCATAGCAATCTTCCATGCAACCAAAACAAACTATCATTGTTGTAATATCCGCATAACCAATCTAAAATACTATTATTACTATATATATATATATATATATATATATATATATATATATATATATATATATATATATATGTTGTTAAATATAATCGACAATGAAGGTCTATAATGTTTGATCATGAGCCGTTCTAAACCTCGTTTTAATTTCGGGTTAAGATACAGACAAAAATTTTCCAACATTTGGTTTTCTTTTTATTAAACCCTTCCTTGATCTAAGATTTCGGCTCATATTTCACCATCTTCAACTAAAATTATACGGGCATTTATACAAAGTTGTTCACCGTTAAAGATGATATTTTTGTGATGTTGATATGGAATATTGCTTGCGACGATAACCATCGCGGAATAGCAGACGCAGGTCGTAAATTCAAGATGCGTTTCTATGACGTCATGCAACGCGGGAGGCCGAAATATTAACAACAGAACCATAAGTGTAGATGCAATGTAATGTGTTGTGACTAATTTGAAATGTAATTTTGTTGAGTGTGAGTTGCTTTTTTTTTTAATGTAGATGACCTCGAATATCTGAAGGTTAGTTTTACGGTGTGTATGTGTGAGTCCTGTTGGTGTATCAACTAATATCTGTATGTACAAGTCAATGTTTTTCTAAGAAATTTTCTTTAATAGAACTAAGATCAGAAACATGACAGGTAAGTCTACGGGTGAGCGTTGTTGTAGCAAAACCAATATATGTAGTGGGTTTATTATTAGTATCAGAGATACAATCTCCTTGATAGGCTTGTCAAATTGATATATATATATATATATATATATATATATATATATATATATGTACTATCCCGTCGGTTTTCGACGTATGAGGATCTGACAGTTTATTGATTCAGTTATGGAAGTTTGTGCGCTAATCTTAAGTGGCATTAAGACCCGCTAGTGATTTTTCAAAGGAGGCCAAATGGAAAAGTGTGAGGATTGTGAGATGAGATCACTGTTAGATTGGTTGACCTTTTAGATTTGCTCTCTTCTTGAAGATAATTCAGACAAGCAGATTGGAAATTGCTGAGTCCACTAAACACGTTGATCTCCATTCTACCCGCTCCAAGGCTATGCGCTCAAGGAAGGAATGTTTTATAAGTAATATGTATTATATTGCAAGTAATTTTCGTTTAATCTATGTACACTATAAAATAGTTCTTTATTATCGTTAATAATTGAACAGTGTACAATTATTAAGACCCCAGGAAAGTTATCAGTGTGTTATCCTCATAAATGTTACATATTTACATCCGAATTTGTTTTTACTGCAAAAGTTCCGAAGGCACAATATTTTTGTGTAAACTTTGGAAAGTCTGGGTAATCTATGACAGTTCGTAGATTCAATCTGTAATTTTAGAGTCTAAAACAGATGGGGAGTGTTACACACACACACACACACACACACACACACACATTTACTATGTCCCCCCACTTGGACTAGATATGACACAAGGAATATTTTTAGGTAGGGACCCGAGCGCATACGCCCGGGACAGGAACAAAAATTTCCCTCAGTGCCCGAAACCGCCGTTTGCGCTGGCCTCGGTGCGAGCAGCGATCCCTCCCTCTGGTGCAATGCGAGGGCGCGGCTTCGGTCAGCTTTTCCCCAGGGCTGGGCACCCCTTCAATATTATTTTCTCAGTTGCCCCTCTGTCCTTTGACAGAGAAGCCCCTGAGCGCATTCTGCCCAAAGATAGAGACACAACTGAGAGATGATAAGTAAACGTGTACTTACTCAAAAGGAGTAAGTTACGAACAAACAGATAGTTAGAATTTAGTTCTTACTGTGAAATGTGTCGGCGTTGTTTGGGGTGGGCACTTTCTAGTTTGTCAACGCGGTCGCTTTTTGTGTGTGGACGTGAATGGGCGTCTTGACTTCTGAGCGTCCCATGTCAAAATTTAGCACACCCTCCCTCAAATGTTAATACACAGTATATATATATATATATATATATATATATATATATATATATATGAATAGATAGATAGATAGATAGATAGATAGATAGATACTTGGTTTATTATATATAAAGATTATTAAGAGTATTTGCATGTTCTCAGCTTGTGATTGAGTGACAGCAAGTATCCACAGCATCCTTCGAAACATTCTCCAACCGTTTCGGACATTAACCACAGAATCTGGTCAGTCTAATGACTGCATCCTCAAAAGCAGTCACTATCCAACAGATTCCAATGGCACCATCAGAAATAGTCCATAGCAATCTCCGGCAACATTAGCAGAATCACTATCTGCAGCAGTCTCATTAATTGTTCTAAGAAAACTTACGATCCCAAAGTTACGGACAACATATTACGAATCACCCAGCCTCCAACAGTCCCCAAACAGCCTTCTTAGAACCAGTCAGCCTCAACAGTCTCCGACTGCCACTTCTAAACTAGTCAGTCTCCAATAGTTTCCTACAGTCTCCGGTAGCTTCACCACAGAAATAGTCATTCTCTGGCAGTCTCCAAAACCTTCCCCAGAACCAGTCAGTTTTCAACAGTCTGGCAGTCTCCGGCAATCTCCCCATAATCATTTAGTCTTCAAGGGTCACTGTTGGGGCCACCCACCTTCTCATCAGAATGGACTGATCTCTCTACTACTAATAGGACAGTTCTATAGAGTGATCAGGTGACCATCACACTTCCGTCTCTCTACCGGAAGATACAGTTGGACTTTATACTCTTTCTGATTGTTACTGACTAACCTGCGTTCGTTTGACTACTAATCTCTCTGTAGTAAATACCTCTTCAGATATACCAGTATTTTTCCCTACATATTTGTTTGTCCTTATTTCAATACACGCACGGGGAAACACTCAACAACTCAACAGTCACCTACTGCCTTTCCAGAAATAGTCAGTCCCCAGCAGTCTTCTTCAGTCTCGGATAACGTCCTCAAGAAACAGTTTACAATAGTCTCCGACATTATCGTCAAAAAAGTCCCCAGCCGTCTCCGACTACGTCCTCAGAAGCAGTTACACTCCAATAGTCTTGAACAACTTCCTCAAAATCACCGAGACGCCAACATTCTCCAACAGCATTCTCAAAAAAAAGTCTCCAATAACACCATCAGAAATTATCTTGATACTGAGGGAAATCTTTTTCCCATTGTCTATTTTATTCAAAAGTGACAATTTAAATCAAGTGGTTTTTTTTTAAGTATTTGGGATCGTATTTGAAATCCTCACACAAAAAAAAAAGACATTGGTGTTAGAATTGCAATGGCATGGACAAAAATATCAAAAGTGAATAGCATCTGAAAATCAAAAATGAAAAGAATTTTGAAGGCCCAATTCTTTGGGTCAAACATTAGAAAAAGTCCTCTTATACGAGCCAGGCAGATGCAAATTATGAAAATCAGTGGCATTCGATTATTGAGAACAACGGAAAATAAAACATTCCTATAAGTTCTGACATATATAAAAAGCCCACACATCCAGGTAAAAAATTAAAAAAATAAGAATCGTCCTTGATAATGGCTTAAAGAATAGCCGAAAGCGCTCGAGTGTGCAGAACATTAGGACAATTTTCACATACATTTTAACCAGGAAAAAAAATACTATTAGAAACATAAAATAATTTCACGAAAATGAAAAGAAAAGCTTAATGCCAGTAACATGATAGTTGACATTTAAGGAAACACACACAAACATACACACACACACACGCATCTATCTATCTATCTATCTATCTATCTATCTATCTATCTATCTATCTATCTATCTATCTATCTAAGTCAGCTCATTATCTATCTATCTATCTATCTATCTATCTATCTATCTATCTAAGTTAGCTCATTATCTATCTATCCATCTAAGTCAGCTCATTATCTATCTATCTATCTATCTATCTATCTAAGTCAGCTCATTATTCATCATCTATTTATCTATTCATCTATCTAAATCAGTTTTTATCTATCTATTCATTCATCTATCTATCTATCTATCTATCTATCTATCTAAGTCAGCTCATTATCATCTATCTATCATCTATCTATCTATCATCTCTATCTATCCTCCCGAAATAATAACAAAAGCCAATTTAATTATCTATCTATCCATCTAAGCTCAGCCATTCATTATCTATCTATATTCATCTATCTATCTATCTATCTATCTATCTATCTATCATTCATCTTCATCTATCTATCTATCCTCCCGAAATAATAATTCAAAGCCAATTTAATTATCTATCATCCATCTAAGTCAGCTTTAATTATCATATCCATCTATCTATCTATCTATCTATCTATCTATCTATCTATCTATCTATCTATCTATCCTCCCGAAATAATAACAAAAGCCAATTTAATTATCTATCTATCCATCTAAGTCAGCTCATTATCTATCTATCTATCTATCTATCTATCTATCTATCTATCTATCTAAGTCAGCTCATTATCTATCTATCTATCTAAATCAGCTCATTATCTATCTATCTATCTATCTATCTATCTATCTATCTATCTATCCTCCCGAAATAATAACAAAAGCCAATTTAATTTTCTGGACGAGGAAACAAGTAGGAAGTGCATGAGCTCCTCCCGAAAATAGCTCACGTATTTTATAGTTTAAACGAGAGAGGGAGAAGTTTAAGGTGAAACAGGGGGGTGGCGTTCCCCACTGAAGTTTAAACGGTTGAATAGTTGTTACTTATGAGTGAGGAATCAAGGGTCGCTAGTTATGGCGGCAGCAGCAGCTCTTCTTCCAACTTCCGCTCCCACGTTCATCTCTCAGCTCAGACCCATTCGAACAGTTCCATGAAAATAAAATAGGGCAATTTCTAGATAGATATGAATATTATGCACATTATCTATCTATCTATCTATCTATCTATCTATCTATCTATCTATCTATCTATCTATCTATCTATCTCATTCTGTTCACTTTCAATCTATCTATCTATCTATCTATCTATCTATCTATCTATCTATCTATCTATCTTGATTGA